GATCTAGTTTCTCATTGTGATTATGTGAAGGATCTAATGGATTATTTAGATTTTTTGTACTCTAGCAAAGGAAACTTGTCTCGCATGTATGATATGTGTCAGGCATTTTACCATCCATCCATGCAAGATCGCTCTCTCACCACTTACTTCTCAGAGTTTAAGAAGGTGTATGATGAGCTTAATGTTATATTGACGTTTAGTCCAGATGTGAAGGTACAACAGGCTCAGTGTGAACAACTGGCGGTTATGAGTTTCCTTTCTAGTCTTTCTCCCAAATTTGAAGGGGCCAAATCGCAGATTTTATCTGGGACTGCTATCTCTTCTTTGAAAGAGGCCTTTACAAGAGTGTTGCGTACTGAAAAGTCTCATCCAGGTCCGACAGCCACGATCGATAGTGGTGCTCTGCTTAGCCGCGTCCAAAAGAAAAGGAGTCATAGTAATCACAATCGGAGTACCGATAGTCGAGACCTAAAGCAAGGGGAAGTTGAATGTTTTTATTGTCATGAGCTCGGTCATACCATACGTTATTGTGTGAAGCTTCAGAATAAGAACAAAAGATCTCAGTATGCCAACATCGCCACTTCCGAGACTATTTCACCATCTCAGTCATCATCTCCTCCTATCAATACTATCCCCGAGTCAGGTAAAACCACTAAGTGTCTCCTCTCTTTGTCATCCAAATGGGTCATTGATTCTGGTGCCACAGATCATATGACAGGTAACTCTAAACTCTTTTCCACTTTTCAGTCACATACCCAATGTTCCACAGTTACTTTAGCTGATGGGTCTACCTCATATGTTTTATGGTCTGGCACTATTAACCCAACATCTTCTCTTTCCCTTAGTTCCGTCTTAAATTTGCCTGATTTTTCTTTCAATCTAATATCTGTCAGTAAACTTACTCGTACTCTAAATTGTTGTGTCTCATTTTTTTCCCAATTATTGTCTTTTTCAAGATCTTACAACGAAGCAGATTATTGGTAAAGGTTCTGAGTCTGGGGGTCTCTATGTTCTTGAATCACAGGTGCCGAAATCCATTTCTTGTTCAACTGTGTTGTCTCCCTTTGATGTACACTGTCGATTGGGTCATCCATCCTTGTCTAGTTTGAAGAAGTTATATCCTCAGTTTCAGAGTATTTCCTCTTTAGATTGTGAGTCATGTCAGTTTGCTAAACACTATTGCCTTCCTAAAGTTTCTAGAGTCAATAAACGGGTCGACTTACCTTTTGAGTTAGTTCACACCGATGTTTGGGGTCCATGTCCTATTATCTCTAAAACTNCACAGGTAACTAAATTAGATCCAAAGGCCCTTAAGTGTGTGTTCTTAGGGTACTCACGTCTTCAGAAAGGTTATCGGTGTTATTCTCCAGATCTCAAAAGGTACTTAGTGTCTGCCGATGTCACATTCCATGAAAATTATCCGTTCTTTTCTTCATATGTTTATAACAGTCCTGAGGAAGAAAATGATACTTTGGTCTACACTATCACATATCCAGTTAGTTCTCCAACACCTCTTCCTCAGTCACCCATTTCCCTCGATTGACCATCCGAGCAGCCACCTGTTCTTAGTGTGTATACCAGGCGACAACAAACCTCAGAACCCGATCCTTTACCTACTTCTGCTTTGTCGGTNAAAAAAGAATATTTTTCGGATTTGTTTAAAGATAATATGGCTACAAATGGTATTCTACATCAATCTTCTTGTGTTGACACCCCTTCTCAAATTGGGGTTGCGGAACGAAAAAATAGACATCTTCTTGAGGTAGGCCGAGCACTCCTCTTTCAAATGAAAGTGCCAAAATGTTTTTGGGCTGATGCCGTCTCTACAGCTTGTTTTTTAATAAATCGTATGCCATCTTCTATATTTCATGATAATATTCCTTACAACATTCTTTTTTCCTCTAAGCCATTATTTCCTATTGAACCCAAAATATTTGGTTGTACTTGTTTTGTTCGTGATGTTCGTCCACAGGTAACTAAATTAGATCCAAAGGCCCTTAAGTGTGTGTTCTTAGGGTACTCACGTCTTCAGAAAGGTTATCGGTGTTATTCTCCAGATCTCAAAAGGTACTTAGTGTCTGCCGATGTCACATTCCATNCATCTTCTTGTCCCAAAGGAAATATACTCTTGACTTGTTAGCTGAAACTGGAAAGTTGGGATCTAAACCATGCAGCATGCCAATGGTTCCTAACACACAACTCGTGAAAGAAGACGGTGAGTTATTCGAAGATCCAGAGAAATATAGGAGATTGGTTGGGAAACTGAACTATCTTACAGTAACTCGTCCCGATATCGCATACTCTGTCAGCATTGTGAGTCAGTTTATGTCTTCCCCAACAGTCAGGCATTGGGCGGCTCTGGAGCAGATTCTTTGTTATCTAAAGGGATCTCCAGGACGGGGTCTAGTATATAAGAATAATGAACACACTAACATTGAGTGTTTCACAGATGCAGATTGGGCAGGGTCAAAAGCCGATAGGAGATCCACGACAGGATATTGCGTTTTTGTTGGTGGAAACTTGATTTCGTGGAAGAGTAAGAAACAAAATGTCGTATCTCGATCTAGTGCGGAAGCAGAATACAGAGCTATGGCACAATCTGTGTGTGAGGTTGTATGGGTACATCAACTATTAAGTGAAGTTGGCTTCCAAACTACATTGCCAGCAAAGTTGTGGTGTGATAATCAAGCTGCTCTTCATATCTCCTCTAATCCTGTATTTCACAAAAGGACTAAGCACATTGAAATAGATTGTCACTTTTCTCGTGAAAAGATTCAACAAAAGCTCATCTCTACAGGTCATGTTAGAACTGGAGATCAATTGAGAGACATTTTCACAAAAGCTTTGAATGGAGCTCGAGTTGAATATATCTGTAACAAGTTGGGCATGATCAATATATATGCTCCAACTTGAGAGGGAGTGTTGACATACAAGTTGTGTAGCACATGTATACACATGTACTACATCATAGCTAGCACATGTATATGAGTTGTATAGTAGGTGTAATNGATGGCTTTAGATGAGAATGGTACTTGGGAGTTGACCGATCTGCCCACTAACAAAAAAGCTATTGGGTGCAAGTGGGTATTTGCTGTTAAGTTTAACTCCGATGGGATAGTAGCTCGCCTTAAGGCACGCCTTGTTGCAAAAGGGTATGCACAGACCTATGGAGTCGACTATTTGGATACTTTTTCCCCGGTCGCCAAGTTAGCTTTCAGTTATTCATTTCCATGGTAGCTACTTATGATTGGCCTCTGCATCAGCTTGATATAAAGAATGCTTTTCTACATGGAGATCTTCAGGAAGAAGTATATATGGAGCAACCACCTGGGTTTGTTGCTCAGGGGGGGTGTGGAAAGGTATGTCGTCTTCGAAAATCTCTTTATGGGCTGAAACAGAGTCCCCGTTCTTGGTTTGGCAGATTTAGTGAGGCTGTTCTAGAATATGGGATGAAGAAAAGCAATTGCGATCANTACTTCTTTGGTTTCTAACAGTTAACTTGCTTTTATTTCCTCAATATATTGCAGCAGTGTAACAATTTCACTTTGAATATCTTTGTCCTATATATATATTTGATTATTCAACTTATGTGCTTGAATCCAATGTTTGTGCTTAAGTATAAGAGAAGATGTATTTGCTGAAAATATGTAAAAACAATATCATACTGGCTATATAAAGAGAATCTTTGGTGGTTTGCTTCAAGAATGTGTAACACGGTAAGTTGCAGGTGGCTTGTTAGTATATTTGGTTGATGGTCAACATAGCAGTGATTATATATGAAGTATATTTTCCTGTTTCAAATCAACCTAATTTAACTGTAAGTCTATAACATAGGTTGGGAACTTGATCCTATTTCAAATCAACCTAAATTCCGTTGTTATTTCCACTCTTCCAACCCCTATACTTTTTATTGTAATTGTACCGTAGCTATCTTCTTCATCTGTTTATTGTCTTCAACATTACTTAGTTGAGCAAAAAATCTATTGAAGTTTTTGGTGTCTCAAGCCTCAATGTTGTTTCAGCCACTTCTTCAATTATGATCTCATATTGTTTCAGCCCATATCAAAGAATTAGAATCTTGGTTCCTCCAATTTCAATATTATGTTATGCAGGCACCCAATCTAGGAGATGGCGTTGGAGATGGCATTGGAGATGGCGTTGGAGATGGTGTTCTGTCACCAACTGGGCCTAGAAAATCCTTTGACGGAAGTAACTATGAAAATGGAGCAAACAATAATTAGTAATTATTGTTAGGATGAACTATGTTTTTTTGTGTTGTAACTATTGAGTAACTCTCTTAACTCTATGCACCTTAAACTTGAATCTTGGGTGATGTGTATTTTGAGTATGTTTTAATGATATTTTGTTTATCTAAGTATCAACTATAATTTATGTTAATTATTATGATGGGTGTTTGATAACATATTATGATGGATTTTATGCAGTAGAAATTAAAGGATAAAGGATTGAAAAGTTAACATTAAAATATTACAATTATGGCAGTATAAAATGGCTATAATTTGAAAGGGAGAGGATAGCAATTACGGCGGTTCCAAACCGCCACAATAAACAAAGTAAACAGTTGTACTTAACAATGCATATTGTGGCGGTTTTATCTGCATATTGCGGTAGTTAGACGAAAACCACCGTATTACACCCCTTGGCGGAAGCGATTATGGCGGGTGAGTAGGACACCATTAATAACAATTGTGGCGGTTCTGAACCGCCACTATAAGCAAATGAAACCGCCGCAATTACCCTGGTTTTTTGTAATGGAAGGGAAAGGGATTAGGGACGGATGAACATAGGATGGGGTTTGTTCACGTGGACCCATTCTCCTCTCCCTAAATCATATATAGTATCAGTGAATTTCAACTCAAACATTTAAATTAACATGGGTGAATCCAAGCTTAGATGAGAACTTTAGTTCACTGGTAAGAAGGTACACCTTCTATTCTTTTGTTAGGGGTTCGATCCCTGTAATCTTTCTTATTTCAAATCGTTAGTAATAAATAGGACTGAATCCCATGTCCTTGCCGCTTTTTCTAATGAAACACACTTCTTTTGTTTCTTTTTTTTATCTCCTTTTTTTTAATGGTTACACATTTTCTTTTTTCTTTTTTTCTTTTCTTTCTTTAGTTCTTTCTTTGACTTTTAATTTTCTTAAATCAAAAATACATCTCTCAAATACCCTCTTGGGAACTTGGATTTTTGGTGCTCATGGTCCATCCATACTCTTGAAATCTTAGATACGTCTCTGAAAGGAATGAAAGAAATACAACTTAACTCTCATACCACTGACATGTGGTGGGATTGATTCCATCATTAAAAGCGGTAACATGTCCTATATTAAAATGGAAAAATTATTCGTAAGGAGCATTTTTAATGAGCACTTTTAGAGTTGAGTTAAAATCGGGATTCATTTTATTAAAGTGTTATGAAACAAGAACATTCATGTTATTGGTTTATTCAATAAGTTCTATGATATACCATTCAAGGCAATTACATCCCATGACCTTGAAAATGATGATCTTGATATTTTGACCCCTAGTACCCCATGGGCAAATCTTTAAGGTTAAAAGTCAAAAGTATTACCTGCGAGCAAGCGAGGGACCACACTTGTTAAACTTAAAATTTCACCCATTGGGCAAGCGAGATAAAAAAAATAATAGTAGCACTAAAGTATCCTACTTCTGTCATTCACTCATATTATTCACGCTTTAAATGTCCAATATCTTGAACATGCTGTGGAGGTTAGATTGTCCCATTGATTGTTCCATATTGGTCAAAGAAATAGATTGTTGTGGTCTCACATAATTCTTACCTTGTAATTTAGATTTTGTAGCTAAGTTAGGCTCAAAGGTGACTAACAACAACAAAAAAAAAATATACACAGTGTGTTCTTAACAGGTGGGATATGGGGAGGGTAATCTGTACGCAGACCTTACTCCTACCTAATGAAGGTAGAGAGGCTGTTTCCAATAGACCCTCAGCTTGGAAAGGGTGAGAATAAGGAGATAAGAAGGAGGAGGAGGAGGAAAGCAAGAAAGGAAGAGAGAAGAAAAAGGGGGACACAAAAGTTAAGTAGTACCGGATAATAACAACAAAGAATACAATACTTGAGGCAAACAAAACTACATAACACAATAAAGATCTGAGAATATGAAGGGATATGCGTGTTACTAAGATTATGGGTGAGCAACTAAGAAACTTTTAATTTCCTACTAACCTTTTATCCTAATCCTCAACCTCGTCGCCCTTCTATCAAGGGTCATATCCTTAGTGAGCTGAATCAGCGCCATGTCCTGCCTAATCACCTCTCCCCAATACTTCTTAGGCCTACCTCGATCTCTTTTCAAACTTGCCATGGCCAACCTCTCACACCTCCTAATGGGAGGTTCAATGCTTCTCCTCTTAACATGTTCGAACCATCTCAGTCTCGACTCTCGCATCTTGTCCTCCAAGGAGGCTACTCCCACTTTGTCTCGGATAACTTCATTCCTAATCTTATCTCTCCTGGTATACTCATACATCCATCTCAACATCCTCATTTATGTTACTTTCATCTTTTGCACATGGGAGTTCTTGACTGGCCAACACTCAGCCTCATACAGCATTGTTGGTTGAACCACTACTCTATAAAACTTACCTTAAGTCTTGGTGGCACATTCTTATCACATAAAATACCAAAAACAAGCCTCCATTTCATTTATCGTGCTCCGATGCGATGTGCGACATCTTTGTCAATCTCCTCATTACCTTGGATAATAGACCCAAGATACTTGAAACTAGATTTCTTAGGGATAACTTGAGCATGAAGCTTTACATCTACGTCTATTTCATGGGTCCCGTCACTGAATTTTGCACTCTAAGTATTCTGTTTTGGTTCTACTCAATTTGAAACCTTTAGACTCCAAGGTTTGTCTCCAAACCTCTAGCCTCGCGTTAACTCCGCTTCACGTCTCGTCAATCAATACTATATCATTGGGAAATAGCATGCACCAAGGCACCTCCCCTTGGATGTGTCGCGACAACACATCCATCACCAAGGCAAATAAAAACAGTCTAAGAATCGATCCCTGGTGCAACACCGTCACAACAGGGAAATGCTCTGAGTCGCCTCTCACAGTCCTCACCCGAGTTTAGACCATCATACATATCCTTAATCACCCTTAGTGTACGTTACCAGAATGCTGCTAGCCTCCAAATCCTTCACAGAACCTCCCTTGGGACATTATCATACGTTTTCTCAAGGTCAATAAACATCATATGCTCAAAGGCAACTAACCAACTTAAAACTCACATTGATGCATATATAAAGTAGCGCAGAACAAAAGAAGAATGGAACATTTTAAAGCAGTTCTCCTCTTAAGTTGAGCAACTGTATATATACCATAGACAAAAATGGCAGCATCTCCTTATCAAGAATAAAACCAATTGGGAATTCCTCTAGTGCTCCTTTATGCTCTAAGTACTATCCACAAGTACTACTTTCTACACATTTTCAACCAAAATACAATCTCCACAAAAAAATGGCTTGCATTAACGCTCTTAATTCAGAGTTGATGAATTGCAGGGCTGATCAGAAACTGATCAAAAAGGTCACTAAAATACTGTGATCGTCACTGAGTTGAAACAAAAATCAGAAAAATGTTAGAAGAATAAAGAAATATATAAAACAGTAAAGAATCAGAAATATTCCGAGTCCACAATTTTCTTGTGCGTCCTTAAGGAATTTTAACCCCCTCACACATTGCCAAGGTAATGGATTAAATCCTCCCAGGATAAAACGGAATAAACCTTCCTGCAACAGTGGCAATACAAACTGCAGGATACCAACGAACTCAAAGAACGGAGCAAAATCACACTTACGAATTTGAGAGAGAGAGACTGCGAATTAGGATGCAGTATATTCAGAAAGAAAGAACTTCTAGAGTGTTTTTCGTATGTAGAAGATGCAGCCTTGCCTCAGAATTTATAGGCAAATATCAGAAGATGTGTCTGGAAAGGTGCCTTTTCAGAAAATACGCGGCCTGCCGCGGTTCTACCGCGATCGCGGTCGAACCGCGGCAAGAAAGCCTCTCTGAATTTGACTGTCGTGATTCTACCGCGATCGCGGCAAAACTGCGGCCAGCGAGGCCCTCTGAACGTTCAACAGTGATTTGGCATTTAATTAATTATTAAATAATTAAATAAATTTTGTCCAAAAATAATCTTATCGATTGTTTGACAAATCCAAATCCAAATCCAAAGCCAAAGCCAAAGCCGAGCTGAGCGAGCGACGACAACGGCGCGAGGGTTCATTCTCTTCAACTCCTTTTAAGA